TAAATTGTGACAAGACTCGAATGTGTCGAAAGAAAGAATGGACAGTTTGGCGCCAACACCTAAATACCAGCTGGGAGCGGAGCCGAAGTGACCACTAGCTCATAGGGACTGACCAATCGGACGGGGGGGACTGAACTGTAATCACAGTGAACTAGCCAGGGGTCAGAAATCTGACCAGGGACGTAAGGAGATAATTAAAAGATTTGAGAGACGCCAAATCGCCACTATTGCATCTAGTTTTGGTATTTTCCCACATGCAAATAAAGTTTATTTTTGCATTTGTATGATATTTCATGACAAAATAAATGCGACTTGAACAAACAATTTGGAAAAAGTTAAGCTTAAAGTGATTTTGGCTATTTTTAGTAACAAATCCATATCCGTACGCGTATAATAGGCGAGTTTGCGTATTTATACGTAAGTTGGTGGTTTTCCCCGACCTGGTTTTATCCTCTATACATTCCAATAATTGTGTAGCGGAACTGGACTGGGTCGATCATCGGCGACTAGATAGCCCAATTGGTAGAACGTCCGTCTAGAGTTCGGAGGGTCCCGGGTTCGAACCGTGGTGTGGCCGTGCATTTTTCCTCTCCTGTTACAATTGTATAAGTATGATACTTACCGCTTGAGCTAACACTAAATGATCTCCTCCTACATGTTTTATCTGCAGTACAACCAACGTCAATAAAGTCAGCACAGATGTTGGCTTATAGATACTCAACACAGTTGATTCTTTGGTCGAAATTATCTCCATCGAAAAATTTCCTGGAAGACCTACGTCAGCAAGACGCTTGAAATATGTCGGTGTATTAATTACTGCCCGGGTCAGTACAGCCCGCAAACGACGCCTTGCTATACATACATGTACGTCTTTTCCTTTATTAATATAATAGCGTCACCGTTTCTGCGTTCATAAATGATTATTTTAGAATGTTTTAAATATTTTAATAGTTATTGTTAAAGATAATAGTTACTAAACAGTCAATACATTATCTCTCTCGTGACAGCCACTGTAATACAATGTAAGGTTAGCTACTGTATAGTTAAGTTAATGCAACAGCTACCAGCGGTGATGCAACAGGCTCAGTCAGTTGTATTCTAAGACACAACAGTAATACAACACCTACATGTATAGACATTAATTATACATGCAAAACAACTTGACATGAAGGACTTTAAAAACATATTATTTAAATCTCTGAGAAGCGAACTTGAATAACAAATTCAATCGTTATTATAAAGATATATATATACATACTGTTACGTTTGAGGGGAAATGAATGATATTGTATAAATGTAACGATGCATAGCAAGATTGCAAAATAGATACATACATTATATTATGAGTTCCGTTGCAATAACTTGTTAATGGTCTAACGTACGCTATTGTGACCATAAATCAATATAACTGGCTAAATGTACTTGCTTAATATCACTGGACTAACTGAGTGTGCTCAACATTTTGGGCATAAGACAGATAAATCTCAGCCTGCCAAGGGGTAAGATTAGTAAATAGCTTGTCATGTAATACATAGTTTTCCATGACGGAAAGCCACGCAATATCAATAGAATCTATCTTACACTGGCCAATGAGATGATGTCAGGCCGCGGTTAGTTTAAAGTCGTTTCCATAGTATTTTACTGAATTTTATTTTCTAGTTCAAGCAAAATCTTCTTTATTTATTAACTATTTAAGGCAAGCCATGATTATTTTCCCCATTTTACGTCGAAATACCGAAAATAACTGTGTGCATACATCATCCATGCAGTTAAATGTATGTACAAAAGTGCACATCGTTTTTTTATATGCATTTCAACCCCCCAAAATAGTCATAGTATATCCTTAAATAGTAAATTTTGTATGAAATGAATAATAAACTAAAAGAAATATTGATCGAACGAAGGTGATGTGCACATAATAAAGGAAGAACATAGAAGGAACAAGGAACAGATAAAAGCACTCAGGAATGATTTGCACACACTGAAAAGGGAAACGGGGAAAAACAAAAGAAGAGGTACAATCGTCCAAAGACACCGTAGCAATGCTCAACAAACACAGGCGAAAGCCCAAAAGTATAAACGAGTTTTGGAGTCCCTCGGAGAGGACATGGTTACAAAAATAAGAAGAAGAAGTGAATACCTCTTACGGAAGCAATAATTGAAGAATCAAAAGATCGAGACAGGAATTCTTATCTAGAGAAAACAAACTTAGTGAAACCAACGAAAATATAAGCGAGGTAAAATCGGTCACGGGGAAAATAAAGCATTTTTATGAAAAGAGACTGTACATTAAGAACGAAATTATCCCTACAGCAACTAGAATATCTGGTTGTGAACATATTGCCTATAAGTTTCACAATGAACAGTCAAATGGAGTTCGCAGTCTCAACAACAAGCTAATTGGTAGTACAAAAGACATAGAGTTTTGAATCGGATGTGGACAAATGGAAGTTGAATGCGATGATGGTCAACAACAAACAAGTTACGGACAGTATTCAACGACAGATTACGGAAACAAGGAGACAAATAAGAGGAAACAAGGAGACAAAAGAGAGGAAACAAGGAGACAAATGAGAGGAAACAAGGAGACAAATGAGAGGAAACAAGGAGAAAAATGAGAGGAAACAAGGAGACAAAAAAGAGGAAACAAGGAGACAAATGGGAGGAAACAAGGAGACAAATGAGAGGAAACAAGGAGAAAAATGAGAGGAAACAAGGAGATAAAAAAGAGGAAACAAGGAGACAAATGAGAGGAAACAAGGAGACAATTGAGAGGAAACAAGGAGACAACTGAGAGGAAACAATGAGACAAAAAAGGAAACAAGGAGACAATTGAGAGGAAACAAGGAGACAAAAGAGAGGAAACAAGGAGACAAATGAGAGGAAACAAGGAGACAAAAGAGAGGAAACAAGGAGACAAATGAGAGGAAACAAGGAGACAAAAAAGGAAACAAGGAGACAAAAAAGAGGAAACAAGGAGACAAAAAAGAGGCAAAAGGGAGACAAATGAGAGGAAACAAGGAGACAAATGAGAGGAAACAAGGAGACAAAAGAGAGGAAACAAGGAGACAAATGAGAGGAAACAAGGAGACAAAAAAGAGGAAACAAGGAGACAATTGAGAGGAAACAAGGAGACAAAAAAGAGGAAACAATGAGACAAATGAGAAGAAACAATGAGACAAATGAGAGGAAACAGGGAGACAAATGAGAGGAAACAAGGAGACAAATAAGAGACATTCAGAACAGGAACAGCGACAAAACGAAAGGAATCGGAAAAGGGAATCACAACAAAAAACAGGAAGGTCGGTGGTGCGGTGAATAGCACACTTGCTTTTCACCACGGCGGCCGGTGTTCGATACCCCAATCGGACGTGAAAAGGTATGGGGTCACGTGCGCTAACATCCGGGCCAAAAAGATAGGTTAATTTAAGTTGAAATAACTTAATTAATAATTGTTGAAAAATAAATAAAGTTTATATTATATATAATAAACTGCAGGGAGAGACAGAAATTGTAGCACAGATTGTTTTGAACCGTTTTATGTGTTAGACGATCGACTATCTAACGAAAAATGAACGGGAAAAGGCGGAAAATCGTGCCGTACAGCGTGATAGAACACCTGCTGAAACCGGAAGTCATAGTGATAGTTATGAAACGACTGGTACTTGTAAGTATTCTGGTACTTTTTCCGTCTTCCGTTGGTGATTATTACGTCATTGGTTTGTGTGAGAAAATTACGTCGTTTTCTCAAAAATTGATGACGGAATTGTTGCTGAGGACGAGCACGTTATATCTTCATGGAAAACTTAGGCGCAATGGACATTTTAACATAATGATTTCGAATGCGGGAAGTCTTAACAGGCAGGATATACAGTCCAGGCAATTAATGGCATAGCAGACAATGCTAAAAGAATTATATGTCCGTGTGCTCGTTTTTGTGCCATGACTGCGGTTTTGGCCATTTTCAGGACATACTCATACAATATTTTCCAAGTGTGTTATCAGATATGTATGAATGTTTGAAGAAATGAAATGACAAAAGTAGCATTTTCTTTAAAATTATGGAAGTTAAATTTCTTTAACTTATTCTTACTTATTCTTAACTTATTAACTTACTCAAAAGAGCAATTTAAGTTACTTCTACTCCTTATGTTTTAAAGAAAAATACTTATTTTCAACTTTTCTTTTGCAGATTTAACGCTTGACATAAAAAGTTCTGCTATAAAACTTTTTAAAATATAGAACAAATAAAAAAAAATAGGTTTCTCTTTCCAAAATACCCATAAAAAGGTGGGTCCGTGTGCTTCATTTTTTGTCCCGTTATTATTTGGTGTTATTCTACAACATTTTGGGGTCAAAAATCAAAAGTGCTTTAGTTACACTTAATGTGTCAGACAAATACCCAAAAATGTATAATTTTCCACTTTGTTGCATGTTTTTTTCAAATTACATAGAACATTATAAAGTTGTACAGCAAAAATGAACTTGCTTCAATTAAAAATGGCAACATAATGACAATTTAAGTGATCAATCAAATTTAAAATGAAAAAAGTTCTACATAAAATAGACCTTTAGATTTTTGACACATTTTTCAGATGCGTGTTTGCTATTAAAATTTGATCATAATTTGTTAAATATTACAAAAAACCCTTACGCGAGATCAAAACGAGACTTGAATTGATGGAAACCTCAATTTAGAGAGCACAATATTTCAATTATTTTGTATAACTTTGACAAAATTTCTTAAATTGTTATAATTAACGCCAAGCCAGTTTTGCGACCGATCCATTCCGAAACAGACTCTGTATTAGAGTTGGTGAAGCTCTGGTTTAAAATAAAATCTTTATATAAGGTTCAAGCAATAGAAATAGATAACCCAGGTTCAAGCAATAGAAATAGATAACCCTAGAACAGTTGGCGCTGATATAACTCTTTCCAAATATGCTTCGATTTTTTTTTATTTACATGCCATTGTTCTCAAGATCTTTTAATACTCATTTAAACTTTAATCGACTAGGAGACTTTTTATACTGTCTGTATGACGTTTATTCAAAGTGGAGGGAAAGTGATATTCCTCGGGGATAAGAATGTTAAAGAACGTTGCCCTGTAGTGTTATTTTGTTGTTGATGGTATGGCGGCAATTTTCAATAATTTGTCCCGGTGTAAAATCTTTTCTCGGTAAATGTACAGAGCAACTTAACCGAGTTAAAAAGTTGTACGAACGAAATAAAAAGTCGTAAGAACGAGTTAAAAAGTCGTACGTACGAGATAATAACGTACACACTATAACGAGTAACACAGGGCGGAACAATACGACCTTCCCATGCCAATCTGACATACTTAAAATCCTTCTGATGCATTATAACTACAACTTATCTTAATGTTTGAAACAACATTTGAACTTTATTACTCATTAAAGTTGAAAGTTATTTTGTGAATGTGGTGAAAGGAGAAAGCATACAGTACTTGACCAAGTCGTACGTACGAGATAATAACGTACACACTATAACGAGTAACACAGGTTATATGCTTAAGGAACATATATATTTTACATATCCTTTATGGTCTTTAAAAGTTTGATTTTCATAGGAATTGTCCTCCTTTGTATATATTTCAATCCATGAAAATAGAAATCGAAATTGCCCCTTTTTCCCAATAATGGATCATATTACAACATTGGAGCCAAAGACATTTGTATTGATAATTAATTACTGGCAGATTTCTCTATTAGGCAAAGTATAAATATTGACCAACACATAAGCTGTTTTTTTTTTTGTGATTTCTCCTGTTTTGGGTTAGTGTTCTTTCTTTTAAGTTTTAGACATTTTCTCTCTCATTTTCTCTAGACGTATCGAAGCTACTAATGCCTCTAGTTGTGTTAGGTTTTCCCTAATGCAGGTCCATACATGTACTAAATTCTGTTCAGCAGTTTTAACGAAGTAAAATGTTTAAAATGTTAACGACGAGTGTGTGTCACGTTTTATTGTACGCGATTTCTCGCGTTATTACGACTTTTGCTTTCGCGTAATTACGTGTTTATTTCGCGTTATTACGTGATTTTTCGCGTAATTGCGTGTTTCGTTTGCGTAATTACTTATTTCTTCGCAATATTACGTGGGTTTTTTCACGTTAAAACGTGTTTTTTTGCGTAATAACATATTTTTTCGCATTATAACGACTTTTCATTATTTTTATTTCTTAAAAGTGACCCTAATAGCTAGGCCTTCGTAGCCTAGCGTTTGTCGTTGTATAATATAAATACTGACCAAGTTTTATCAGAATCTGATATTGTGACAAAGTTATTGTGGAGAAACCATCAACCAATCAGAACACAGTATGCTTATTAACTATGCGCGGATTTTGATCAACTTCGAAGTAAGCCTCAGTCTTCATATAGTGTTCATGCACACCAGGGCCCGTATTCATGAAACCGTTCTCATGCTCAAACTTGGATTTTGTGCCCAAGCAAACTTTCTTGAAACTTGCATAATTCATGCGACACGGAAAAAAAGTCAAGTATAGATATTGAAACGCGATTCGGCTATTAAAATCTTTTAAAATTTCGTTTAAATCATTTACGAAATGTAAATTATTATTACTTTATTATCGGAATAAAACACCGGGCTTGAACACAAAGAGTATAAGCAGGAGAACGTTTTTATGAATACGGACCCAGGTTTCATAAATTTTGAATGACATTTAGGCAAGTTATCTTGCGTAAACTATAGTTTAGAAATTGACAAATCAGAACGCTGTAGGCTAATTATTCAAACGTGAATTTTGCCCAAGTTCGAACTTAATTTCAATTAATCTATAATGTAAATGCATACCAAGTTTCATCAAAATGAACGATATATATATAAGCCAGTTATCTTGCGAAAATCAAAGTATGGACGGGCGGACGAACGGACGTCCGTCTCCGCATGCCATCGACGTCCCGTCAAACTTTTGCCGGGCATATAAAAAGTCGTACGAACGAAGTAAAAATTCGTATGAACGAGATAAAAAGTCGTACGAACTTTTTAATAAAGGCAATATAGTAGAGGGGCAGGACTCTCTCTCTCTCCTCCATATCTGCACCCAAACCGCCCAAAATTTTGAATTTTTAAAGGCCCCGAATTTTAAACCGTCACCCCAGTAGTGTTACAGTACATCGATCAAATCACAGCTTTGTTGTTGTGCAGAGTTTTACACTTTTATGTAGTACGAAATATACTGTATCGTTAAAACGACTGCGTGCTTTTAACATCGCCAAATGTTCCTTTTAAATGCTCGTCTTTTTCCCTACCACTCGAAAGAAAAGCGTAAGTGTTAGGATGGTCCTGATTCAAAACGCCCATATATATTTATACATAGGGGCTCGTAATGTGGTTCCCGCATGTAACAAATGGTTGGGCAGGTGACCCCGTTCATTTTACACGTCCTATCTGGACATCAAAATCATGAGCTATCCACGGTGCCACCAAACCACCCATATTTTATCAATTATATCGATTAATTTTTTTTCATAACTTACCAAAATAGAGGCGTTTTATTGATGTGCTAATTACATGTATACATTATGTATACAAGCTTATCAGAGATTGTTCTCCGCTATGTGTCCCAATCTCTCCTGTGTGAATATTGGTTTAATTTTAAGAAAAGACTTTTTCACGGAGCTGAGGACTGGAGAGTACACAAGAAGAAACATGTACATTATAGTGCCTTATACCACTATATTATCGCACAGGACAACCAATTTCTTCAAAAGCTGACATTGATTTAGGAATTGTATTGAATGGCATCGATTTTTCTCCCGATTTTTTACCCTTACATTTAGCAATTTCAGCCAGTGAATACTATGAACAAATCAAAATATGTCAGTTCAAAGGGTTATTTTGTCTCTATGTGGGTATATGGACACAATTTATTTATATTTTTATTTTGAGAATGCAGAATCTCCCCCGTGGAGATTTCAAAAAGTTGGCAAGCATGCAATTTTTAAACCGATCATAACTAAACTTTGGAAGCGTCACAAGTGACAAAGCAGTAAAATCAGAGAAGAATTTTAAAGGGGCTATTTAGTCAAATGACATATTGAAAATCGAGTTGATACTGAAAACATATATCTTCTAACGTAAGTGTACGTAGTTGATAATGACATGACCTGAAGCCAATGTCCATTTTTATATTTTGGGAAAGCGGGCCGAGACATACAAGAGTATGTAAAAATGGTAGTTTCTACTCCTGCTTAACGCTCAGCAATTTATGAGTGGGACGACTGGTTCGCCTGTTGTCAGTATAATGCGCCCGTTGTCAGTATAATGTGACCGGTAGGGGTGTCCTGCTGGGTGTCTTAGGCAGTATGTTTCAGTGAGGTAGCACTATAAAGTCGCTATTACAAGGAGACAAACACGAACATATCGCAGCCTCCCAAAACGCACACGCATGCACTACACGCATGCATCTTGCACACCTTAAATGACCATAGCTGTTGATAGGACGTTAAACAATACTAAACCAAACCAAACCGAACCGGTGAGAAAAATAGCTACATGTACGACCGAAATAGCGCAATAGCAGGGCCTTTCAGTGAGAAAAACCGACAACACAGTGTCAGTTATGAGTCTAAGTACAAGCATAACAAATTCTTGAATCGACACAATACATCGCAAGTAACAATTATAAGTATCATAATACATACCTCTAATACATTATTTCTGTTCATATATGGATTTGAATAAAGACGAACAGGTTAAATTAGAGCATGCACGCACTGAGAGGGTGCCACAGGGAGAATTTCAAATCGCAGAAAGTACGATAGCAAAAGGTTTAAACGTAAAAAAGATCACTCATTTATAACGATGTTTGAGATGCTGTTGGAAGATGATTTTGATTCCGAATAAATGCATGTACTTGTATTCCAGAGTGGATAGGTAAATAAGCGAGAAGTTACCTTCTCTCCTCGGCTAGAAAGACATTTTTGTTAGCCAGATATTCACCGACAGCTCCCGCTAAAACGTACGGCTGTACGGTTAAAGATTTCTTAATTACTGATAAAGAACGTCAAGAAAACAGTGTCTCTTGTCAATATCTCGACATGTCATGTCCATAAAGTGTATCAAACTATATTATCATGAAGATTTTGCGACAAGGTTATAAAAAGAAATTACGTCACTAAATTGTCCCTTTGATACTAATTTCTTTTATCTCCTAAAATGTACCTTGGCCGAAACATACGCAGTCAGTTTTTGTAAAAAAGAAAAGCAGGTAAATAAATGTAAATGTCACCCTTGACAACTTACTTTTAACTCTTTCGTACGACTTTTTAACTAGTATACGTACGACTTGACATTATTTTCTACCCCCTAAAAATTGGCACGAATAAAGCTTAGTAAATAAGAAAGTATGTATCATCTGCTTGGAGGCAAAGTTAACTTCAATTTGGGAAACACTGAACAGGAAGAATTAAAAAAGATTTTTCTGCGATAAGCAAAATCTTCAGAATTTACAGCAGCTGATTTGAGAGTATCCTATATATCACTATACGTGTAATTGATAATTTCAGACATACCACACATGCTTATGTAACTTATAAGGAAATATCCAATGTAGATATTCTCTACTAAGGATCCATATCCGATAAGTACTACACGTATAAAACAATATCTATTGTCCGAATTTTATTATTATATTATTTCGGCCTTATTAATGTGAAATGCATATTAATCTTCTTTGATCTTGAAAGAAATAATCATAATGATATAAAATGATGCTCCTTGACCAGACACCTGCCGTTTTTTTGGATCTGGTATTAATTGGACTCGAATGATTTCATTCTCGTCAAAAGAAACACAAACTCATAATGCATTTTTTTTTTCTGCGTGGATTTTCACAATTAGTCCACGCAGTTGTTAAATACAAATTTCTTTATTTGCAAAAATTATATTGCATAAAAGATATATTTATGGTATGTTATACGAAATGTGACATTTGTTGATAACTTCACGACAAAAGACAATTGTCCATCTCCACCATAGCTCTGATTGCTAGTCAGTAGGCTAGTATCATCTGGTCGGTAAACATCGGCACATATCGGGTATGATCGGACAACTTCGACCAACAGGCCAACGTCTAATGATATCAACAAATTCAGACACCAAAAACTGTCATAAAACAGTAAATGTCCTTTCAAAATAAAGAAGAAATATTGGATAACAACTGAGAAGAGTAATGATAAACAATCGATGAAATAAAATGAGAGTTGTGTGTAGTAGAATGTAGTAGCGTTTTGTCCAGTTTACCCATGCACCAGCACCGTACGTAATACACACGATCTATTAATGTTTGGTTATTAAGTTGAGATTCGTTCAACAATGGGTGAATATAAAATGCTCCAATCGATTTGTACATACGTGCTTTTCAGCATGCTGTTATATATATTTTCAAACGAATGCCTGGAATGATGGTGAAGTATATCTAGGGTATGAAACGGAATGCGGTGCATTCAGGACTACATGCGAATATTGTGCATTCATTCCAGGCAAAGAATATGCTGCATTTCTGAATATCGGCGCCATCGTACCATATGAGGTTGTGTATGGTGCAAAATTTTGATACGGAGAACTATACATGTTGGTTGTGTAAGACACAGGCGATGAAATAGCAGGGCTGTAAGTGAATTGTGAAGGCGATGGAAACTGGACAAAATTGTTAGGGGATTGAAAACTACTGACGCCTCGGCTCAAAGGCACAACGTCTCCATTTCTATCGACTCTAGCGAGGAACCCACGGTTTGAATGGTTAGGAATTGTCGGTACAGATCTTGCCGCTCCCATTGACCGTTGCATCGAATTCGCTTGAGTCGATACACTCTGGGCATTGGAAATGTCAAAGGAACCTATTCCATTTAGCGAACCTGACCGAAAAATCTGATTCTGGCTGTTGAACGATGGTACAAATGACATTCTCTGTGCAGTTCGTCCAGTGGAAACAGGAGATGACGTAATAAACTGCGAAACAGCTCCAGATGCGAATTCTCCTTGATTTTGTCCAAAAGGTACCGTGATTGCTTCACTGGTTCCCTGTACTTGGTTCTCTAACATCCCCGCAATACGAGCTTCAGCTGCAGCATTTTCTCCTGCTTGCAACAGAACGTCTTGTGAAGTTACGCCTGAAAATCTCCCAGTGGAAGTTGCTTCTGCATTGAATTCGTTATTACGTGACAACTCTTCTGTTTGGCGCTGAGCAGCTTCCTGTCTTGCTGTAGCCATGGCTTCAGCATTTTTAGCCGCAGCCGCAGTTTGTTTCGCTCTTTCCTCCTCTGCCTTTTCCCTTTTCTTCTTCGCAATTCTTTCCCTCAGTTTTTTCAATCTTGCTTCCAGTTTCTGTTTCTTCTCGCTTTTGCTTGTTTTCTTAACGACGTTACTGCTTTGGCTTGTGCTGCTGGAACTAATGCTAGAACCACTAGGACCACTAGAACCTACAAATCGGTTTGTTGTACCAGTGGTTGCCTCATTCAACGAAGTAGGCAAAAGGTTGGCAGCTATCAACCCCTCATGTACGTCGGGAATTTGGGTATCTGTGAAAAGTGAATTCCCTTGTTGTTGTTGTGGTTGCTGCTGCTGCTGTTGTAGTCGTTGCTGTAGTAGTTGTTGCTGTCGCTGTTGCTGTGCCAAGAACAGCTGCTGTTGCTGCTGCTGTTGCTGTTGTTGCTGCTGTTGCTGCTGTTGCTGAATAACTCGCGTTAGCTCTGCTCGCATTCGTTGAGCCGCTGTATCTGTAGCCGCTTCTCTACTCCTTTGTAGCTCTAAAACCTGCTTAAGAACGGCATTATTTTGAACTACTTGGAAGGCTTTCTGTATATTGTTTCCATCTGTCAACAATTTGTCAGAATTCTCGTTCGCTCTCCTTACAGCTTCAGCAGGGGAAGCAGCACCGGCCAGTATTTGTTTTAATGCTGCAGGAAATTCGGCAGGACTAAATCCTCGCAAATTCTGTGAAATATCAGCTAAATTGCTCTGAGATACTAAACTTCCCTCTGCGGTTGACGCCACGTTGTGGAAAGCTTCTGATAGAGGGTTAGTGGGATCAACAAATATGTTTGTATGTGAAGTTCTTTTAACAGATTGGCCGTATACAGATCCCATCAGACACGCACAGATCAAGAGGACAGATGCCATATTGGTGGTGGGGTGTCGATGCTGCACTCCTGTAAAATAAAATTGCCTTAGTTAATATTGAAATTGACAGGAGACATTCACACCAACATATCCAAAGTATAACGTGCTTTCCCTTTTACTGTTGATATGCCTAATCGTTACATTATACTTTCTCTCATTTGACTATATTTACATTCTGTATGCTTAGACCCATTGACAAAAAATACATTCATAAATGCATAACACAGGTGTTCATAGAATCTCAGCACGTGGAAACTGATAGTAACCTGATCACACTGCGTAGTAATACACTACAAAAACTACTCACTCGGAACGACCGACCTAGATGCTTAATTCTTACATCTTAAAATATTATTGAACTGTGCTTGGTGAAATATCCACGTATTCACGTGTCCTGTGCTACAAATAAACATTGAATATGGAACTACATTTTGTTGTGTTATTGTTGTTGACGGTTGCTAAGATCTCTCACGATAGTGTCACATTTCCCCGCGAAAAAACACTGTTCTCGCCACTGCGTTGCACCCGTGTATAAGCAGGAACAAACCCTGTTTATTTGTTTTATTCGTTGTTATATCGATCCACTGAAAGGATTCGTCAATGTAAATATAAGGAATGATATTTATTTTTTCAACATTTATGAGGTCATAACAACAATGGGTTTTTGGACATATTTTACATGAATCGCTAACGCGATTCATTCAATATGTCCATAAACCCATTGTTGTTATGACCTCATAAATGTTGAAAAAATAAAAATCATTCCTTAAATAATTACTTGACAGCAGTTACGTGCAATATTATACACTTACTTCACATTTTATACCATTATTGCTATATTGCCAATGCGTTATATGAAAACTCAAAATGGTCAAAATTTATAATGTAAAATAATGCTGTTTAATTATAAATATTGGAATAATTAAAAGTATTACATCGTCGACAATGAGTTTAAGGTATCGAATTAAGTTATATGTAGTGTTGTTGGAATCACTGACTAAAGTTTGGTATACAACATATGCAAAACAAACAAGAATTAATCAATAATTAATCAGTACAAGGATGCATATACATTATGGACAGACATATGTTGCTTTATTCTCACAAACAAAACTAAATACTATAGCATACATGTACGTGAATGCATGACAGGTCGAGTAAAATTAAAAACAGTCACCGGATAAAGTATTATATGAGCTGAACGATTCATGAATAACAGTTTTAAATTTGATTTCCGGGATTTATTACTCAATTAATTTATGTGAGCGCAAAGTGTCATACTGAAACGAAACAGGTAAAAAAGAATAGATTGTACATCATACTTAAAAAAAATATGTTTTTTTTGAAAATTAAATATTTATTTCACTGGCCAGGAATACAACAAGGTTCTTCTGTTTTATTTCCGTTGTTCACAAAGTGTTTAATAGGTATTGTCTTACTTCGTATGCACTCTATTATTTGCATAGTCAATCTTCAGTTTTGTTTTGTGTCGTTATTGCAGAACGTTAAATCTTCAAAAACAATTTTTACTGTTTTTTTATCTCCGGTTTTGTCAATATTTCATTCACTTACATGTTGTACTTATGACAAACGTACTTTATGTTCATTTATTGAATTAGGACATATCAATAGGAACTCTCAATATGACTTGTCACTTAATATATACGATATCTCTTATAAAATGTATATGTCTTACAACGCACAGCTGTATAAGATATCTTCAAAAGATTATAGGACATCTTAAAAACTCTGTACGACATTTTTATGAGCTAAGTTCAAAGCTTAATAAGGTTTCGTACATGTTATATAAGATACCTTGAACTTTATAAGATATCCCACAAATATATTTACATCTTACATACAAAAGACGATATCCACAGAAGAACTATATTTATATCTGATTATTTTTCTCTCTTACAATACTTCTTGATGAAGTTAAAGTTTACATTATAGCTTCAGAGAGATATCGACTGTCAAATTTATGATAAAAAAAGACTTTCAAGCTTCGATTTTAAGTAAATTTAGAAAACACGGAAGCGTTTATTATATCCGCCAAGTAGACAGACAGATTGGACGAAAATATCTTATCAGATTTAAAAAAAAAATGTATCTATATACCTTGAAATTGTCATGAGATATGTGAAATATACTATGCAGTTATTAAATTATCTTACAAGAAAGATATCAAAAAAACACCTGAATCATATCGTACACAATAATATAAAGCTTATTACCACCTTAGTTCCATGACAAACTGTTTGGTTGGGATATTCGTCCTGTCTTCCAAAAAGGAACAGATCGCTCTAAGCAATACTTATTTATTTGTTATAATTATGACTTTTACTTTTAAGACATTCTAATAAATGTGTTTAATATACATGAATTTAATAATATTGGGAAACGAATATTTTACGAGGGAATAGTTCTTGTGTTGGCATGAGTACCTTAAGAAGTGTTATTTTCGAAAATGACAACATGAAATGCTTGTTTAAACCCTAGATAACTATCATAAACATCTACACACTACCGCTTTTAGAAATATCACAACAACACAAGTATAACATCGATTGAAAGTAAAACAAAAAAGTAAGAAACTTACCTCTGCTAAGAAATTGTTACTGTCCCAAGCAAGCAATGCAGAGAGGAGTGACAGAAAATGAGAAGCAAAAACTATTTAAAGCAGATCGCATCATCAATTATATATTGTCCGTTTCTTTATAAAGGTTAAGAAATAAGCGATATTTCTTAGTTGTATGTGTAGTAAACTTCTCCGTCACTTTCCGACACATTTGCGCGATATATTTGATGAATGAGATTTAAGACTGATAACAACGACCGCGTAATGACGTCACGCACGACTACACAAAGGAGATCTTTATTTGATACACATCGTTATATTCGTATACTACAGAACGTAGGTGAGGTTTAGATTATAAAACTTAAAACAAATCAAATTCTCTCTAGAACAAACAAGGTTTCCGTTGTGATTCATGTTGTTCACACCTCAAATGTGTCATCTAATTCGATTGATCTCAAATGTGTAAAAAATGAGAACAAGCTATTAAATTTAGAAAGCTGTTACGAAATGGTATAAATACTGGTTGTAGCAGTGAGATTAATACATAGTCCATCAGTTTGGAGTATGGGGAAGTTCTACCAGAGGGTGTATAATGTGGGTTAGAACTGAGGCTAAACTGCTGTTAAAACGGAGCGAGATGTGCGTAAAACCCCTTATAAATATTATTTAATAATAGAGCAGCAAAAAATAATTTGAAATTAATAACGAGTAAAATGTACATATTATGAATCGTTCCGCTAAAAGAGATTCCACTTCAGAATACTTTTGTACAGAACTCACGTACAAACTACATGTAAATAGGCAACAAGAATAGCCTATATAGTCCCTCTCCTTAATCAACAGGCATAGGCTATATAATCCCTCTCCTTAATCAACAGGCCTAGGCTATATAATCCCTCTCTTTAATAAACAGGCATAGGCTATATAATCCCTCTCCTTAATCAATAGGCATAGCCTATATAACCCTCTCCTTAATCAACAGGCACAGCCTATGTGATTCCCTCTCCTTAATCAACAGGCATAGGCTATATAATCCCTCTCCTTAATCAACAGGCACAGCCTATGTCATCCCCTCTCCTTAATCAGTAGGCATAGGCTATATAATCCCTCTCTTTAATAAACAGGCATAGCCTATGTAATCCCTCTCCTTAATTAACAGGCATAGCCTATATAATCCCTCTCCTTAATCAACAGGCATAGGCTATATAATCCCTCTCCTTAATCAATAGGACTAGCCTATATAACCCTCTCCTTAATCAACAGGCACATCCTATGTGATTCCCTCTCCTTAATCAACAGGCATAACCTATATAACCCTCTCCTTAATCAATAGGCACAGCCTATGTAATCCCTCTCCTTAATCAACAGGCATAGTCTATTTAATCCCTCTCCTTAATCATCAGGCACAGCCTATATAATCCCTCTCCTTAATCAACAGGCATAGCCTATGTAATCCCTCTCCTTAATCAACAGGCATAGCCTATATAATCCCTCTCCTTAATCAACAGGCATAGCCTATATGATCCCTCTCCTTAATCAAAAGAAAAAACTGTGGCCATCAAGGTTACGACAGACCTCGGGACTGATATATACACCCGCAGAATATACCATCTTATATCTTTTCAAGACACTCACATGTGATGCTATCTACAACATTTGGTAATATATAATTGAACTGCATCGTCAGTTGTTTCATCCACCTACGACCCAATAGTGATGCTAGGGACAACAACAAAAATGGAAATCCAAATTGGTCTATGTACTGTTGACACAGAATGGGAGTTGTGTAAAAAAAAACTATATTATTTGATTTAAAAACAATTCAGGAATACCTGTGAGTTCCAAATGAAATTGTATAGCCGCAGAGGTCGGCATTGCATACAATGTTTTGTTCACTGATGCAAATATCCTATATTTCCTGTTGCGTAGGCAAACATAATACAAAACGCAGTGTGGAAACACGGAAAACGTCATGAACTTGCACCGGTCATGGTGTTTCCCGCCAAACACAATTGTGTAGGTCATCAGCTGTGAAAGACGTAGTGAACAAGTGTTTTGATCATGGAAAGTCTGAAAAGTGGAAATTAAGTCATGATGAAGACCTTACAATTCTCCATTGTGGATTGAAACATTCTGGTATAAAACACTAGCTCTATAGTTGTTTGATCAACAGGACGTATGTATACTAAAATAATCCTGAGGTTAAGAACATATTCTGGAAGACCAAATCAAGTTTTGTGATATACAAGTGTATACACTCCCTAACAAGGAGAGGCTGCTGTAATACTGCTACGAAAATGGTGCTTAAATGCAGGGAAACCAAAATCGTCATCCTAATCTGTAAAATTATTTCAATAAGTTAGTAGCTGTTATTGTGCATTGTAGATTAATCTCTGAAAAGGAAGCTAAATAAGTAGGGTCTGTGCTATCTCTTATTTCAATATCTTGAGGGGTTTTGAAATGTAAGCAGTCCTTGAAATTCTTGTTATTCAAGAATAAAGCATCAGCAATATATCTTCAAGTTAAATTTAAGAATTCGGAGGGAATCTAATATAAGTTTTAAGTAGCCTTGGTTTTACAGTGTGCTATTCAACAAAATGAGTATCATATCTTTTGTCATTTCTGTATGCGTTTGCCGTTTTAGAAATTGCTGATATACATGAATTATAACATGGGTTTGCGTTAAGCACAATGTGGTAGAAGTCGATTTTTTAAAATTGAAATTATTGTTGACTATGTTGATGATTTAGAATACTTCATAACTTCTCAGAGATAATCTAAGCCCAGTTTTGTTTAATGGAATAACGCCAGTACGTCTGTCCTTCACTTTGGTTCATAGGATAAAAGTAGGATTGAGACAAATATATATAAGAAGAAAATAAATCAATGAACAAATACTTTAATTAATAAAAATCATCATCAAATCCAGATTTTACCCAGGTATATAAGTAATTTTCATCGCAGAAAGATTTATCTTTTAATCTTTTTTGTTTGTTTTGTAAGTAAGGGTATTTTTCACTTAAAAGTTGGAAATGTTGGCTTTTTTCGCATTGAGCAACTTTGCGCGAAAATATCCACACGCAAATTGTATCATTAATCAATGTAATTTTATTGTATTATTTTATCAATGAAATTTATTGTATTATTATATCAATGTAATTTAATGTATGATTAAATCAATGTAATTTATTGTATCATTAATCAATGTAATTTTAGTGTATCATTATATCAATGAAATTTATTGTATTATTATATCAATGTAATATTTCGGAATATGATTTAATCAATACAGTTTATCTATTATTATTGCAATGTAATTCATTGTATAATGATTTTCATGTGATTGATTGTATGATGATTGGATCAATGTTGTGTATTGTATGTACGCTTTTACCAATGGAATTTATTGTATAATAATTTCAGTGTAATTGATTGTATCATGAAGCTTCAAATATGATTTATTATTTCATGATTCCACTATGATTATATTTTTATTGTATAATGATTTCAACGTGATCCATTGTACGCATGGTTTCAATAAATATGATTCAAGGTAAATTATTATTTAATTTCCATGTAATTCCTTGTATTTTTATTCTTATATGTATGTCTTATATTAAGTTGTTATGTCATCCAATGTGGTATTCTGTAATCTAAGCTAATTAATTGAGTTTTTAAATATTTGTGAATCAGTAAGTCGTTTTACATAATGTACATATCATAATTACCATAATTATTGTCATTTGTTCAACACATTCACATGTTATGATCACTTCCACCGTTATACCAATAAGTTCTTTTATGTTTTTTTTTTTTTATTTGAGAGCATCTAGTAATGATAGTATATTGTCCCATTAATTCTGTAATTAATTAGACTGTCTCACAGATACTAGCGTAGACGTAATAAAACGTTACATATAATTAACACGAGCCATTACGACACGTGGCATCAATATGGCTGCGCTTATTAATTCATTGACGTCGTTAATTATTATTCAATGAGCACAGACATCTATCAAATAAGTATCGTAAATCACATTACATTTTTTTTATCTATAGCATACTTACACCATTCATTATTGCTCAGAAATCCTATGTATTTGTAATTATACAGTGGGAAAGGCTTTACATCAGTTGGATAACCTGTGCCCAATCCTTTTTGTAAAATAAATGCAATTTAAAAAAATGTGTTTAAATCAATCAAAACAAATTACTGAAGCAGTTTCACCGACTTATGTCTATAAATTTTAACCGTTTATATTTTGTTTTGTATGAATGACATATAAACAAGAGTGATGAGCGAAAACAGTTTTAGAGCTCTTGTCCTGCTCGGGCCTCGAACTCAGGACTTACAGCATCGAATTGCTTAGCATACAAATACCTCGATACTCCAGGGGTAACGCTCACTTACGCTCTCTGCACCCTTACAATTTGTCATAGCAAAATCGAAGGCTCAGTGTGCGCCGCCTTGTGGATGAGACGAGAAGACTGGTTTGATACTAAGTTGTACATCAAATGAATCGCTCGGTCGCGTAACGGTAAAATTGACTGACTTTGAAGTCGGGTGTCGCTCCCCTGTAATCTTCAAGTGCCCAAATGTCGGCCTAGCGATTGGTCAGTTTTTTTGTACCATACCTTAAATTTTGCTATGACATATTCTAGGGGTGCAGAGAGCGTAAGTGAGCGTTCCCCTTGAGTATCGAGGATGAAATACCCGCTGTTCCTACCACTACACCAACTTTGATGTAGTGGTCAACTGTCCGATACTCTCGACATGGTCATAGCAAGTAATTGTCTATTGATAATATGAGCACCCGGATCGTAATGAATAGATATAAACATGTACACAGATAGGAATTGTACACATTTTAAAACATTAATAAACACAATGTAGCATACACATTAATGTCTAAAATGATATAATATCAATAGTATACTAATGTATTACATATGTAAGTAAGTAGTATCATAATCTAGGACGAGACAGTTTTTTCCAGATTTTTTTTATGGATAATCAAAGTCTATTATTTGAAATTGTGAGGGAACATACGCAACATCAAATATGAGTGAAACTGTTGCTGTACTGAGCGTTCGCGATTAATACACTGTACCTTGTGTTTTTTTA